GAAATGACTTTCTCGTCTGGTATAATTCGTAAAGACACCAGCAGGAGCACAAGACCTCGAAAGCACCCCCCAGTCCCATTGAGCACCACACTGGCAGCCGCCAATTAACCTCCACCCTCACCACAACACTAAAGTTTGAGGTACAAGTGGCCACCCCTATCTACCACAACTGCAAAATTACGTCACTTCAGATGGCACCACCACAGTTCCCTTATACCTATTTCATCAACTTGTCACTTTATACAATTCATTCAATTAAACTATGTGTACCAAGTTATTTAAATTCCTAACTATACTTTACGGTACGTAATAACCAAGCCTGAACTAAATATACGTCTATTTTGTACCTCAATAATTTCAACATGCACATCAATGCAATTGTCCATACCTGCTATGGAAGAGAAACATCTCTAACGACTGACTTGGCGCTGTTAAATGGACCCTCCACCTCATGGCTCCCACGTCCAGGGTGCCGACATCTCACCTGGGGAAAAACAATTCAGTTAGCGAGTTAATTCTCTTCCAACTTTCATATAAATGCCTCATGCACTCTTACTACTCACGTAACAACCACACTTATTTAACGGAGTTCGTTACCTACGTTCCCTCTACCAATACCGAGGGTGGAATAACGTTAAGGTCTATTTGCCTACCTAATTGACAATTGTTCGTGTCATGGATCTGTGGTTTGTCAATGTATTTACTTTCTCACAAATGAAATTACGTTTACATTTAGCGTCTCCGTTCCTAATTTATTTGTACTACGTACGATGAACTCTCGTCACCCAAGATGCTCGTCACCCAAGATGCTCGTCACCCAAGATGCTCGTCACCCAACCACTGCTCGATCAATACTACATCAACTCATTCTATAACCCTGATTTTCAAATAACACCCTTCCCCGACCTATTTACACAACTGCAGTGACTCGTTATACAGGCGCAAACACTAACATTAACTAAACACCCCCCTCACACCTTTACAATGCTAATTTTTGCAACTTTTCAATTTTTAAATGCACAAAACGTTCGTCTCCCTCAGACGTGACCATGAGTTCACCTTACACGTGGTATCATATCCTTGACAACTTAGTAAATTAACCTTGTATTCCTTACCTTCAAAAACACATTTACATATCCATCTTCTATCCCATTGGCGTTTCCACACTTTACACCTTTCCAACGAAACCTAAAATACCCATTTGACATGTCAACCTTCACAATAAAACATTAATACCATTTTCCTTATGATGGTACAAAGATCCTGAATAATTAACTTCATTGCCCTACTTGATGCTTATCTACGGTACAATACTCCTTATATAACTAACTACAACAGCCTGCACCTGACCTCAAACCTCTTGTCAACGTATACACTATCGAATACTCTTAAACAATTATCCCCAACATACCGCAACACCTCCATTTAATGGTGCAATTCAACCGTTTCATTTCAAATTATCTACTTTAACACTCCAAAATAACTTATATCGCTTCTGCGACCGTACATTTACCCAATGGGATCCTATTGCCCCCGCCCCAACCTCATTCATACTGCCCTTAATCTTTAGTCAGCCTAAATACCACACCCATAACCACCACCCTCAGTTCATATTAAATATTAATGTACCCGGTGGCAGCGGAACTGTCCAACATCCGCAAATTAACGTTCATGTACTTCATTCCTGTCTTAGTAAGCTGACGAGAGGTCACTAGTGTACAGGCTACCACTGCTATAGTCTTCTGCACCCACACCTATCAAACTCTTCCTTCCACTCAAAACAATACTTAATACACCTCCACAATAGCCTCCACAAATTTTACTCGCCTTGACACGGCTACGTCACATTTTATTTCACGGGAACATCAGACTTCAGAGCAGTAGTTGTTGGCCGAGGCTTCTACCATCAAAACGCTTTTAACCGTCACCCACAACGCCTTCCGCATCTGTCAACGAAATAAAACAAACAATTATCATACAAATTATAACAAAATATGATTAAAAAGTGGGGTAAGGAGCAGGAGTGTTCCCCACAGTAGTTACGGTTTGACGGTGTACAAGGTACTGGGTGGGTTTACGTACGGGTCTGGTCGCCGTAGCGAACCAAAAAAAACACGGCTCAAGCATCAGGTTACAGACCACCACTACCACCACACCTACACAACCGTCCCCGGCCACTACTGGGGCCAAAATAACGTTCCGTCGCTCCCGTTCACACACCTCGACTCTTCAGCCAATCACGTTTCATGTTTTCAGTGACGTCACTTTTCAAACTAGCGGTTTTATCAGTTGTAATTCGACGACTCCACCTAATTGGTTAGCCTAGGGATTCATAGCAAAACTTTTTTTTTTTAACTTCAGATTATATATATACATTGACATTTTAATTTATTCGTCGACTATATAAAGAACTACAATTATTTTGATGGTTATTTTGAATGAACATGCTGTTCATTCAAAACAGGATTTTTCTCAATTATAAATTACTATTATTTTTTATTAACATTTTTTACACATTTACATACTAGTTAGGTTAGGTTACGTTGGGTGGTTAGGTTCTGTTGCCGATTATTTGTATTCGTAGTACGTGGGTGAAGCATTTACAGCGTTGCGCTTCGAACAGAATTCGTCAGTGAAGCAAGTGTTCCGGAACTGTTCGAACGAAATAAGTTCAGGCGTGTGTAAACCGTTTTTCATACATAAACAGCGGGTTCGACGAGTGTATGCATTCACTTTTGGATCTTTGTTTGCAGGACGGGCTGTGTAATGAATGGACTTGAGTCGAGGACGGGTTGCGATTCCAACACAGATCGCCAACGAAGCACGGTTCGAAAATGTTCGAACGTCATCAACTGTGATTCGAGCGTAAATTATTTTTCATTCCTTGCTAACCTTTAGATCCGAACACTATAAGCCACCATCTTCTAAACCAAAGAGAAACCTCGCATCTAATACAGATACAAAAATAACACATTCACGTATGAAAAACCTCCAGTAATTGGTACCATTAAACGAGCTATTGACCCTAAACTCACTGATTAACTTGACCCATGGACAAGGAGGCATCGCACTCCCTTTCCTCGTGTTTTCTTAAGAACCAAACACGACACTTTAACCACACAACTTTATACTTAACCCACCAACAGTGTAATGTGTATGAATGATCACTCCGAATGTCCAAACACATATAAGACTACAGTAATATATTCATTTATACATACTGCCCTCAAGCATTGTTCTGACTGTCATAATATACATACACATTTGCACAGACGCTTTCAAGTATTATTAAACAACGGCTACAGTAATAGACAAGTTATACTCTATCAGAATATATTTAGATTTTTTTATATCACACAACAATAACCACAACAACAAGCAATTTCTCACGTGAAACTCTTATCACAATTCCACTATTCACTATCAGTTCACAATATTAAACACAAGAAACAATAAAATAACAAATATCGAGTAACATGGAGTGAAACCGGCGCCTCAAGACCACAAATTGAACATTATTTACAACCTAACAAAAACAACTGCTCATTTAATAGACATAAACAACCCTCTCCGAAAAGCCTCCGTGCTACACCAATTAACAAACACCCAATGAAGGCTGTCACCTATAATCTACTTATATTGCTATATGACCAATATCTGTCATATATTGCTATAACCACCACAAAACTTCCTACAAGGCTGACTCTATCTACAAGCTGGTGCTCCCAGCAACAATAGGTATAGTGAACATATCACAACATTCACTACAACATGTTAGTACATACAACATTCCTGCAGTCTACCACCCACGAAACATGATTGCAAATCCTGCAAATTATACTTATGAAATAGACAAAAAACATTTCTCAACATATAGAATAACGAATTCGCTTCCTTGTCAGCACTCAGATTCACGGTTTCTTGCCCACACTCAGACCCACAGTTCCTTGTTAACACTCACACCCACGGTTCCTTACCCACACTCAGACCTACATCTCACCAAACATTATCGGATAACACTAAGTATCAACACCTCCTTCAAACACCCTACAACCTCCTTCAACAAGCACCTTGATCGAGGTCACCTGTCAACTACCCCCCCCCCATGAACCACCTTGACAACTCACAAGAAACTCCTCCTCCTGCCCCCACACAGCGTCAATCTACCCCCCCTCTCTCTCGTCCTGTGAGACCCCCCCCCCTCTCTCTGTCGTCCTGTGAGGACCCCCCTCCCCCCCTCTCTCTCAGCATTTTTGTGTATATAGGTTTTGACATTTTGTTAAATTAATTGTCATTCCTTTAAGTGTAAATTCCCTGCCTATTATTCTGAAATGAAAGTACTTATAGTACCTATTTGGAGGAAAGTACCAATATGGACAACCAGAAAGTTGACTTTTTTATTACTGAATTTGGAGAATTCGGAAGTCAACTTCCTGGTTGTTCATCACGACATATTGATACTGTCCATTATGATCACACACTACAAGTACTCTCATTTTAGGATGCGCTGAAATTTCCAGTGTATGGTATTACTTCTGTCTAAATAAATTTGTTATATAAAACCTCGGAAATGAGACATCATGGCGTTTCATTAACTTTTTAACATTCATTGTCAGTTATGAGAAACATGAGAATACAGGAAACTGCCTGAGGACTTTTGCCCATACCAGGCAGCTGGTATTTATATCCATCAAAACTCATTTACATACATGTCTAACCTACACTTGAAACACCCCAGCCATCCCACGTCTCTTACCCGCCAGCGTCTTCCATAAAGCACCAACCTTATTTACAATTACTTACTCGGGTCTTTTCTGAATATAAAAATGACCTTTGTTACCCTTCGATTCATTTTTTGTGTCCAGCCATCCCAACTGCTCTAGGATGCCCATATTGCTCTACGATGTCCCTACTGCTCTTAAGATATCAGTACTGCTCTAGGATACCCCTACTGCTCTAGGATGTCCTTACTGCTCTAGGATATCCCTACTACTCTTAACATATCAGTACTGCTCTAGGATACCCCTACTGCTCTACGATGTCCCTACTGCTCTTAACATATCAGTACTGCTCTAGGATACCCCTACTGCTCTAGGATACCCCTACTGCTCTAGGATACCCCTACTGCTCTAGGATGTCCATACTGCTCTAGGATACCCCTACTGCTCTAGGATACCCCTACTGCTCTAGGATACCCCTACTGCTCTAGGATGTCCATACTGCTCTAGGATACCCCTACTGCTCTAGGATACCCCTACTGCTCTAGGATATCCCTACTGCTCTAGGATATCCCTACTGCTCTAGGATATCCCTACTGCTCTAGGATACCCCTACTGCTCTAGGATACCCCTACTGCTCTAGGATACCCCTACTGCTCTAGGATACCCCTACTGCTCTAGGATGTCCCCACTACTCTACATTGTCTAGAATGCAAATTCTAGACAATGTAAATTATTTTAAAGTATCTCTTCATGAAGAAGACACTTGATGCCCGGGATTAACTTTGTCATCATTCTCTTCTATATATTTATATAGACCGTGCATTCGTAGCGTCTTTTATACGTAAAGATCAAAGGCCAGGAGATGCGAGGAGACCACGAGCAACAAGCAAGAGGAGATACAGACCGACTAACATCGAGAATATTCATCTAACACGTTTTGATCTGTTCTCTATTATGCCCAAATCTTAAATAGTGCCAACGAGGGTAAAGATTCAGATGTAATGGATCAAATCTGATCCTACTGGCTGGAATCTATACTTATCTAGTGATTTCTTTGATTTAGATCCCTACTAACCAACTCACATTTCCTTCTCATTCAGATTTGGTAACTTCAAACTTGTCCAGCTGATGTGTGGCAAAGGTATTATAATATGCTGGGCTTAGATCCTCACCTTTGTCAGCATTAGACTCATTCTGCCAATCTTTCGTCTATTTTAAAAGCTATAAAAGTTTAGTGCGGTTTTAGGTCTTCTGAGTTTACGTTCCGTTCTATTTTTGTGTCATTGATAAATTTGCTAATGTTGTTGTTCTAACCGTTTCTATATTGTTTATAAATAGTACATGAAAAACAGAAGACGGCTCACGACGGAGCTCCGAGCGACTACGAATGAAGCGATTCCCAACTCAGATTGTTTATGCTAATTGTTTGCTCATTTTTGATAGAACTATATGCTCCACTCCAGCCCTAGACAGCCCAACCACTTTGACTGGACGGTAGAGCGACGATCTCGCTTCATGCAGGTCAGCGTTCAATCCAGGAAAGTCCAAGTGGTTAGGCACCATTTCGTTCCCCCGTCCCATCCCAAATCCTTATCCTGACCCCTTCCAAGTGTATATAGTCTTATATAGCTTGGCACTTTCTCCTGATAATTCCCTCCCAACCCTAGACAACACCTTCCCAACAATCTAATGCACCTCTAATTGGTGTCCCATATGGTCCAGACCCCAAGACTTTGGTTAAGGCGAGATATACAATATCGAAATCCTTTCCACTATTTACTTCCAAATACTCTCGAAAAGAATAAGAACAAGTTTTGTAAACACGAGCGACCTTATGAAGGCCATGACGTGAAGCCTTTATTGATTAGTGATGTTCAAGATGAGCACAAATGATCTTTGTGACTACTGAGTGAAGCAGTGTTACCCTCTCTCTCATAACCAAGCCAGACTACAGCTCCGTATGCAAGGCAAGCGAATAGTGTGATGCTGTTATTTCCAATACAGGTTATCTTCAGTTTAGGTATATCTTGAGGTTATCTTGAGATGATTTCGGGGGTTTTTAGTGTCCCAGCGGTCCGGTCCTCGACCAGGCCTCCACCCCCAGGAAGCAGCCCGTGACAGCTGACTAACACCCAGGTACCTATTTTACTGCTAGGTAACAGGGGCATAGGGTGAAAGAAACTCTGCCCATTGTTTCTCGCCGGCGCCTGGGATCGAACCCAGGA